AAGACGAGGCTGCTGGGCATTACCGTCATTTTTCACTCTCAGAAGTGGTGATAATCCAGCGTTATTTTGAAACTGTTTACCAGGGTTTGGGGTATTTAGAGCAAGCGGATTACCACCGGGGACAAAAGCTCTCCACCACCGCAGCAATGAGCCACACAGCACCGCTGCATGCTAATCTGGCCCCTATTGAAAAGAGGTCAGCAGTGCACTGAGCCAGGTTCGTGAACAAAAGACAGTTGTGTAGCACCGCACAATCAGGGCTCTGTTTACAAGGCTGCAGGCCTGGCTGAAATATTCGGGTGTCAATGAAGGTCACCTGTCAACTTAGAGCAGTGCCTAAAGATTACTCTGTGCGGCTATAAACGACTGTTAAATGGAATGATAAATTGTTGAAGGATTTTGAAAACGGAAAAAAATGATAGTCATGCCGGCCCAGCATCCTCAACGTTGAAAAATGCCCCGGCACGATGTGGTTAATCTGGTCAGATAGTTTTCTACAGTTGCTAATCCAACACCAGGTAGAGAATACCAAGTTTACATTACAGACTGCAGATAAATTCCATATTTAAAGCATGTGAATTCAGTTTGTGTAAGTTTGTGCCATGCTAAATAGCTTTTTCAGTAGCCCCCGTTTGAAACTTTCTATAAACCTTGTTTAAATTCAGGCTGAAAAGCAACTCCTTTCTGGTGAATTGACCCACCAGCAACATCAAGAACTTTTGCGTGAACTGTTTGAGCTGCATCAAATCCAGAGACAACAAAAAGATGATGAGCACATGCAGCGCCACCCCAATGATTCGCAGTTCAGGAGGCACTACCCAGATGATCCAAGAGTGCCTCATCACCCAAGATCGCACACAGACCCAAGAAAAGGTGGGATGTGGCCACGAGAGAGGGACATTGACCATCGCAGGTCATCTGCTCAGGATGTGGACATGAGAGTCTTTGACCCAGGACACCCTTTGCATGCTCCAGCAACCAAGTCTAGAGGTGAGGACCCAGTCAAACCAGGGATAAAATCAACGGATGAACCGTTGAAACTGCCAAGTGTTGACCAGGATGACAGGACCAGGAACCATGTGCAGAAGGATCGTGATGACAGAGTAAAGACCCAGCTCACCGAGAATGAACCCCAAAGGCCCCCTCTAAAGTCCATTTTGAAGTCAGGAAAGCCTACTAACCCACCCCTTGAAAGTCCCCTGTCGCCAGAGCCTGAAGAAAAATGTGGCAGTGATGCCGTGGTCAAAACAGTTGTTGATGCTGTATCAGAGACTCGAGAGAAAGATACTGATCAGTCTGGAAAAGAAGACCAACCTGAGACAGTGGCAGAAGACAAAGAATCAGATGCGTTAGATGAGTCTAAGGGTACTGCATCAGAGGTCATGGAAACAAAAGACACGGAAGGGACAGAAGAAACTGGAAAGGGTAAAGGTAAAAAGAAGAACAGAAAAAAGAAAAAGAAGGGCTCTGGCAGCGAAGCTGAGGTCCATGTTGAAATCTCAGCTTTTGAGGAGAACCTTGAAATAAAGCCCCCAGTTTTTAAAGAGAACAAAGTCCAACCTCTTATGGACATGGATGAGCGCCGAAATTCCACAGATAATGAGTCAGCTAATGTGCTGCCTGCTCCATTTAGAGAAGCAGATGATTTAGAGGATTTGTTCCCAGCTGGAAAAGATTGTGATGAGCGTCAAGGTCCAGGACGTCCAGTCAATCCAGACAGAGATAGTATGCGATCCAGAGAAGTTCCTCTTCCTCCAAGGGAAGGTCCTTCACACAGGGATCATCCACCAAGGATTAATCAGATAAGAGAAGACCATCCAAGGGATCCAAGGCTTTGTAAAGGTGCCCCTGAAATTGAACTAAGAGATAATCTTCCAAGACCAGGCCCATTACGAGATGGCATTTTGGGTGATCTCCCTGCAAGAATTCCTCATGGTGAACCTGTGCCAAGAAATCACCCACAGAGGGAACGATATTTTGATGAAGTTTCTAGAGAAGGTCCATTTAGAGATAGACCAAGGAGGGAAGGACCTTTCTGGGAGGGACCACATAAAGATCATCTGTTAAGACGGAGCCCTCCAAGGGAATTTAGGGAGGGTCCACCAAGAGAAGGGCAACTGCGGGGAGGACCCAGAGATGGTCCATTCAGAGACTGTCCACCAAGAGATGGACCTTTTAGAAATGAACATGGCAGGGAACAGCCTTTTAGAGAAGGTCCTCCACGAGAAGGTCCATTCAGGGATTGCCAGTTAAGAGATGGTCTGCCCAGACACGGTCTATTTAGAGATATTCTACCAGGATGGACCCTGTATGATGATGACATACCAAGAGAAGGCCCTTATAGAGAGGGTCATCCAAGAGAAGGCCTGTTCAGGGAAGGTCACCCCAGAGAAGGCCTAATAAGAGGCCAGTTTAGAGATGATCCCTTCAGAGACGGACGCCATAGAGTTGGTCCCCCAAGAGGTTCTTTTCCAGATGATTTAGGAAGAGAGGGTCAGTTCAGAGAAAGCCCACCACGAGATGGTCCCTTCAGAGAAGGCCCACCCGGAGAGGGTTCATTCAGAAGAAGGGTTCCCAGAGAAGGGCCATACAGAGAGGGCCTGTTTGGGGATGACTTTGAGCAAGAAGTTCCAGACAGGGGTAGTCCTCCAAGAAAAGGCTTTTTTAAAGATGGTCCACCTTTTGAGCGATTCAGAGGACGTCTTCCACCACATGATCGACCTCATAGAGAAGGTTCATTTAGAGAGGGCATTCCATTGGAAGGTCCACTGAGAGACGGTCCTCCCCGAGAAGGCTCATTTAGAGACCAGTTTAGGAGAAGCCCACTGAGAGGTGAACAGTTTAGAGAAGGTCCTCCTGCAAGATTTCCAAGAGATGGCCCTCTTAGAGACTTTGAAGAGGATAGAGACCCAAGACGTGGCCCTCCACGTGACCGTGACCCAAGACAGGAAAGATACCATGCTCAGCAAGAGGAGATAAAACCAAAGCCATTGAAGACGGACTTCCCTGGTGAAGTACCATCCACCATAGAGAGATTTGAAGGCCCACAAAGGGGAGGTCCTACCAGGGAGGGACCTGGACCATTACTACGAATGAAAGACAGAGATGAACGCCAACTGCTGCTCTTGGACCAAAAGTAAGATAACTGCTCTCCTTCAAGCTTTAACAGTTACATGATAAAACCTTTGGAAAAGATTAGAAATCAGTTCAATCTTTCTGTAGAAACATCTTGCACTTTTGAAATTGTAGCAAAGTTAGAATTTTACTTCTGTCATTCCTTTCAAAAACATTGCAAATATTGTTAACACGTTAACTATTGGTAATTCATATGCCATTCTATCAAGTTTGTTTCTAATTAGCATTGTCTATTTTGTCTTTTCAGGCCTGCAGAGCATTCACTTGTGCCCCTGCCAATGGAGACTCAGGATGAACCTTCAATATCCACAGAACTTTCAGTGCCTTTACCCCATTCTCAGGCCCAGCATCTGCCAGTTGTAAACCCTACCTTAAATCTTCCTGCAGGCCTTGGGATGCCCAGCATAGGCGTGCTTCCCTTCCAGGTCCTTGGCGGGCCAGCCACTAGTCTCCAGGGTCCTCACCCGCTGGGTCTTGGACTTGTTCCTGCCACCAGCATCTTGCAGGGGGCAGGACTTCCCCCGATGAGTTTAAGTCAAGCCGGAGGGCAGAGGCCAATTATGGTGCCTGGAGTGCAGGCCGTCCCCCAGCAGTTCCCAGGAGTCATCAGACCAACTACAATGTCTGAAAAGGAACCCCAACAAGGTGTCCTTGACCCCAGAGGCTTACCTCAACCTGGACAGATGGCTGCCCCTGGGACACTAAACCCTGCCCGGATGGGAGCGCCACATCTCATGCTGTCAGAAAATCCGCAAGGTAATTGCCTTTTAAAATTCATAAAGGTAACAGGCCGTGATGAACTGCCTGTCCGATAGCCCAGGGCAATCAAATTCTCATTCGTGTAAATTAAAATTCTGACTAAGTGTGCCTGTTCAGGCAAGTCCAGAAAAGCTGATGTCTTGTCTGTCTGCAAAAAACATCTTCCAGTAACCGTTTCTCATGTGAAAATGCTTGTTTTTATGAGTTTTCCTACTTACATTTGCAATTTTTGAAAAGAAACTTCAGTTATTTTCACGAGTTCCCATTCACGTTTCACTGTCGCAGTGGTAAAAATACGTGCGCAAAGCTCAATACCTTAAACGAAATCCCACTGGTTCCAGCTGCACCGCGCCCATGCAAAAGAATGTGTGATGGAAATGTAGCAACCAAAACCAGTCTATACATGTACTGTACATTCTAGGCGATTATTCTACATTGGCCGTACAAGCATGCAACCCTAAAGCTGCAAATCAAAAAAAAAAGTTGTAAGAGCTTTTCTGGAAGTTAATTCACAGAACTTGGTCTCTTATTTATGCATGTATTTTCTGTGTTCATGAATTTAATTTGAGGTTGTTTTGCTCGTACTTGAAGCAAGCATGTTTCAACAAATTTCCCTTCGTGGCGCAAGCCTTATTGCCTGGCCGTCTGGATGCATCACGCACACTTACCAGGTGACACACGGACATCGTTGGCTAGTTTGCCATCATGATTGTCTGAGTAGCCCTGTGAATTGTCCATAATTCTTGTGAATTGTCGACTGTAGAAATTTTTACGTAGATTAAGACAGGTGTTCATCATTTTTTGAGATAATTTTGGAAGCTGTTGTCCCCATTCATGCCATTCAATTAGCAAAAAAATTGGCCTAAAAAACTTCCTATCTACAGACCCTATTTTTGAGAGGCATGTAATTGGAAGCACAACTTTTTGGGGGGCCTAATAAAAGACTGTGTTCATGCAGTAGGCCTAAGTTAAATAACCATAATAGGCCTAATCGTGGATTCCAAGAAATCTTGGGCAAGTGTCAATCCAATTTGGGCAAGCAAACTTATGGCATGGCCAGCCCAATTGGGCAAGCTAAAAAACAAAATTTGTCACGGCCTGACAGTAATGCCCTTTGTATACATTTTAAACACAATTCAAACCCAAAGGATGTATGGATAGGAAGAACTAAGAACATTTGCTGATACAGTGAACGCTCGATAACTCAAAGTTGGGTAGCTCGAAACTCCACTTATATCGAAGACATTCTTCATTCCTGCCAAAAGAATTGGCTTTTATGTACAAAAATACTTCCTTAACTCAAAATGCCAACACCGCATCCACTTAACTTTAAATTTTTCAAGGGGCCAATCAAAACAGACCACCTCCAAATCACAGACAATGAGTGGGAAAAGAATAGGAGACTTTATATGTGAGTCATTTCTGCAAACCGCACTTTGTCTTTTTAGCGTGAGGACAAGAGCGTGCTTGCCAGCACGAGTCATTGCAACCACGGCTTAAACAAACCCTGGCTTTCAAGTAAGCCTGATTGCTATCTTTGCCCAAATGTCGTCTGCATGCATGCAGTCCAATCGTTGATTCTTGATGGTGGCCATGTAACCACACAGCATGTGCCACGGCTAAAGCCTGGCTGCTGCCAGCACTTGCGCACCACAGCCCAATCACAGCCCATGTAGGCACAATGGACATGCATTCCCAACATGGTGCTGGAAATGATCTGCTTTGTAGCGTCACCTAATCTCACTCTAACTTTTTAAAGGTACAAAAGAAAAGGTTAAGGAATGAAAAGACGAACACAAACAGATCATGTGACCGAACAGGAAAACCCTGGCCGCAGCTGTGCTGGTCCAGCTAACACTAGCGAGCAAGCACAGTGCTGTGTGCGTCGCACCCCGGTGTGTGCCGAACCAAAGAATTGTCACAAAAAAGTACAGTTCTGACGGTTTATATTTTATTTATCATTTCACTAGAAAATTTTATGTAACAAAAACATGAAATCTTGGCAAACTCATGATAACTCAAATTTTTTATCAACGTCCCTGAGGTTCAAGTTACCAAGAGTTTGCCATATATAAAAGTTTTTTCATCATTTGAACAGGTACACCACCCCCACAACAGGCAGCACCTCTGGATGTCAGTGCGCTCTTTGCCAAGCTAGTTGCGACTGGAATTATCCCTCCCACCAGAAGTGACTCCCCTGTGGTACAGGTAAGTTAAGCCAAAGTATGTTGCATTTTTAGTATATCAGGGTTGTCAGCTTGGCCCTTTTTGTTTCTTTCACTGCTCATTACTTTAAGGGACCTGGTGGGAATTACCTCTTGCATGCTGTCAGGGTTGTGAGTCCATCACCAGTCGATTATGATGCAGCCATTGCTCGTGTTGGCAACAACTTTTATGTGTCTCTCCATTGCCACACTGCATGCCCATGCGTCATAACAAATTACTTGCATGACAGACTTCCGTTAGTCATTATTGGTGCACAGTCATGGAGTGGGGTGCAACCACTGGGCTGTATGTAAAATTATATTGAAATGAAAGAAATGAGGACTGTTTAAATTAATGGATTGATCTTTATACAACTAGCAAACTAGGCAATTCACAATGCAGTGCAGCACCAAGAGCTTTTCAAGTTTATAGATGACAAAAAATTGCCGACCTGCCACAATTTGCATTTGAATGAATGTCAGTAGACAAATTTAAGGAAATGTGTGATTTATCAAGGCATTCCGTGCCTCACAAAAAACATCAGTGTATAATAATTAACACTGATACTCTGAACACATCCGAATCTTCAACCAACACAAAAGCGCAGCAAAATCCAAGTTCCCAGCATCTAGCTCAGCCGGCACAAATATTTTTTGTTGACCATTTTCCCACAATGCAATTCATAAAAAACCTCTTGGTGGTGCCCAGCATTGTGAATTTCCCGTATTCCTTTCCGTCTGCTTGTCACCTTGTATTTCCCATCACATTTTGCCTTCCAAACATTGTACTGTCCGCACACACTTCTTTCTAAGGAAATGTGGAGGGTGTATTGCTTGGATTCAAACTTGGAACCTTCTGTTTAGTAGTGCAAAGGTCTTATCCACTAGAGTCCTGAATTTGTTACTCACTGACTACATCAGTTCCTGCATAGTAGTTACTCTGTGCTATGTGAAAGAAATAATTTTAATTGTGATTTGTCGTAAAAGTTCACTGTCTATGGTTCTGTCATTTAGGGAACTGAAACACCACCCCCAACAGTTGGCAAGGAGGAGTCAGAGCCTACAGTTGCAGAACAGAATGAGAACACATTTGTCCCAGAGCTTGGATTCTACCCAGAGGAACTCAAATGGTAAGGAAGGGACAAGAATAGCCAGAAGTTAATTGTTTTCCCTGCTTTCATTGGAAAATGATGGCCTTATACATTCACCATTGTACATGCGCATCAGGGCTAATTCTGCCACTAAAACCAGTCCAAGACTTGTCTCTGTGTGCTGTGATCATTGATATTCTTTAGAGGGTTTTGAAAAGTTTCTGGAGCTCCACTGTTTCAGGGATTAATATGTTGTGGCTCAGGTTTTGTATTGCCATTGTTCTGTGTCTATGCATTTGGACTGATATATTTGTAACTTTTTGTTTGCTTTTAGTCGATATGAGGGTGTCATCAATCGCATCTATACAGGGACCCAGTGCTCATCATGCGGGATGCGCTTTGTTGTTGATGAAATGGACAGGTTGGTGTTTTTTTTTCATTTACTTAGCGTAATTTACTTGTGCTTCATTTTTCTTTTGTCTGAGAGACATTGATGTGTGTGACAAGTATAAATTTGTCACCAAATTAGGAGAAAAACAGTTGCCAGTTATTACATCGGGCAAAAATTATACAGAAAATATTCTTTGATAGGCATGACAAATTTGATTGGTGTGTGATCTTGATACAGTTTTATTAATGCTTTCTGATATTTGGTTAAAATTCAAGCCCTTAAAAGATAGACTTGCATGATACAATAGTCTTTTAATGTCTCCACAATTCCACTGATTTGTTTGTCCAGATATCGTAAGCACCTGGACTGGCACTTCCGTCAGAATCGTCGGGACAAGGATGGCATGAAGGCTGCCCAGAACAGGAAGTGGTTCTATGAGGTTGGCCAGTGGCTAGACTTTGAAGAAATCAATGACATGGATGAAGGTAAAGTATCACAGTCCACAGACCATTGAAATAGAAATGTGCAACTAGGAGCAGCTCCAGTGCGAAGACGTGTACGGCCTCAGTTCCATGTGTGTTACCATGTGACATGCATTGTTCACAAGTTTTGATTTACTCCCTTTATTTCGATGAACTAGTTTGCTTTATTTATAAGTTGAAAGAGAAAAAGAAATAGTTGAAGGAATGTCGATCAGGGTTATCATTTTCTTTTTTGCCTCCTAAGATAAAACTGATCAGTTGTATTTTCAGAGTAATCCTTTAAACACATATGATTGGGGCTGCCATTTTAAATACACAGGTATTGATGTTTATAACCTAATATTCATGAAAATGTGGTGCATTTTTCTCCAAATTAGTTCAATATTTGGTTCATTCTTTTTTAGGTACGTAGTTTCATATTTGAAATTGAAGACAACTTTGGTCTGTTTTTACTGTTTCAGCTATAAGTATCTTTAAAAATAAAAACATGGATGATTACAGGGGTGATCTCAATTCTACTTTTCCTACTGAGATGTGTCCCATGGTGTCTGTAATGAGTTTGTTTGGTGATGACAATCCCCATGCAGAGAGAAGTAACTTCTTCGAAGCGATGGCACTGCAGGCGCGGACCGACAAAGATGGTGTGCACTGTGTGGCAGTTGATGCCGGCGTTGAAGGTGATGAGGTATGTTGTTGAGGAAAGTCCTGTCCAGGCATGAGTGAATATACTAAACATGGAAAGCCTTAAAAAAAGATTAAGTTCATATTTCATTTATTTTTGATCCTCTGTAAAATACAGTACTGTGGAAAACTTATGTTTTTCAAAGGATGAGGAAATTAATATCTTCCCCATACTAGAAGAAGATGAAGAAGTTATGTTCTTCTCTAAACAGAGGTATCAAATTGCCGAGAAAGCTGTCCCCTTGGAAATTCAGCCAACCAAAGATGCATGTATTCTTGTCCTCAAAGTCTTGAGTGTAACAGCACAAAATTGTAATGTATATAAGCCCAACAAAAAATTTGATGATCCAGAACATTTCACACCTCTCGAAACTTGTATTTTTGCCTTCACCCTAAAAAAAAAGTTCAACAAAATTGCAGTTTGTGATAAATTGTAATTTCTGAACTGATTTCTTAGAAAATCCTGAATTCCTTCTATAGTTTATTGGCTTGTTGCAAATCAACACAAACATCGTATTAAAAGCCGCTCTGCTCTATTCAATGTGGTTTCAATCTCCATGATTGATTTTTGACAGTGATTTGTTTTTACCAGAGATCTAGAAGTTTTGAAGAGATGGTAATACTTGTGTGCCCCTCTTGTTGGTTTCACAGATGTGCAGTTTGTGTCATGAGCCATTTGAGCAGTTCTTTGATGAAGATGAGGAAGTGTGGAAGCTGAAAGATGCTGTCAGATTCAACAGACGTGTAAGTTGAAACTCATTGCTTTCCCACTTTCCTGAAATAAATAGTACAGATATTGCATTGACAAAACTATTGCCAAGTGTGTTAAACTTTAAAAGGAATGGCATTACATGTCAACAAATTGTTGATTGGACATGTGGAGAGTTTGTGAGGTTCAAGAATAGACCATTAAGTGTCAAAGATATTGTGTCATAAAGACAGACAGGTTTTTAACTTCTGAACGTTTTGTCTGCTTTTTGAATACTCATGAATACTAAAATCAGCACTACAACCTTGAGTTGTCCAGTTCAGAATAACAATACCTTTTGTGAATTTAAACAAAGACTCCTTGTTTGACTCAAAATGGTCAGAGACATTGCATGAAGTAGAGGGGGTACAGTTGACTCTCGGTAATAAGAGCTCGGGTAAGATGTGACTCCGGTTTAGACAAGCATATTTTGCCAGTCCAGACTGAATTGTGTACATTTCTGAATGAAAAATGCATAATACGAGCTCAGATGGTGCAAGATTTTGGTAAATACAAGCATTTTTTGCACACCGGCTGCAAATCTATTGTTATCTGTCTATTTAGCACAAGCTTTTTTGAAGGCAACTTGTCAGTCAGTCAGTCAATTTAATTTTGAAAGCTGCTTCCGTAATTTATTCGTGTAAAGTAGTACAGCACTGCAGTTTTCCCTCTCCGAATCAAGGTGTTTGTGATCGGTGTCGTAAGAGAGACGAACAGTGGGTATTTGAGGTTCCCGTGCCCAACATAGAAATTCTTTGTGGCAGCTCTCATGCTGCCTGAACAGAGGCGAGTGCTGGCAAAAGCTCTACGATACTTAAGATGTTGGGGACCAAAAGAAATCTTTTGTTTGAGACCAAGAGAAATCTTTTGTTTGATCCCCTGCCCCCCCAAAATTCTCCAAGACCAAAGTCCCCAGGAAACTAATAAAAATTGTATTCTGTAACCAAACACCCATCCCCCCCAAAATGCCCACCCCCATCAAAAAATTGTTACCACTCCCCCCCCATAACATGGAGAAATTGCCCCATCCGATTTTGAAATTTCTATAAATGCTCAATTTAAGAAAATCATGACTAAACTGTGGTTTTCAGTCCAAAATTGTTTAAGAAAATAACATCCACAAGTTTTGAAGAAAAAAGTGTTAATAATTGTTAATAATTTCTCACCAAACCCACATGCCTTTCCAAAGTAAAATCCAATATTCGTCCTCTACTGTCCACACCACCAATAGCTGGTGTCCTCCCATTTTTATGTGCAACAAGCGCAGCTCTTGTTTGTTACCAACTGAAATGTTAATGTACTTAAGTTACGTGCGTGCATCTCATTTCATCATGGTGTGCGAGGCCAGGGACGTGTAGCTCCAAATCAACATGACTGGTGGAAAGTCGGCATCCTCCGTTCTTACATTATATAATTATTCTTTATTACAAGTCTTTATTCATTAATCTGTACATACACATTTCACTTTCTTAAACAAAGTTTTTGAAATCAAATTCATATAACAAAACATACCTACATTTAAACAAAAAGTTATGCACACTTGTATACATGTACATGTTACTTACCGTCGATCCGTGATACATACGTCAAGCAGGATGGCAGCTTTCACATACAACAAGGTCCGGATAATATGAGCTAATTTAGTAAGTCCCAAGGCGCTCGCTAACGAGAGTCGACTGTATATACTTTTTAGATATAACATTGAAAAACTGTTTGTCTGGAGGTCTTAAATTCCTGTGATATCCATTAAATCTGTCCTGGTTTCTTTCACATTTCAGACCTACCATCCTGGCTGTTACGAGGACGCAAAGGATGTAAGTTGAATGCTGTTGATTTAACACAGTAATGTGAATTGTGAATGGTGATACTGACTTTTATGGAAGCCTTAGTAGAAGACAGGAGCCAATAAAAATGCAGCAATATTATGTTCAAAATACATGTCAGATTGTTAATGTTGGAAAATGATCCCAAGGTTGTATTCGGTTTGCTTTTCAGGCCTTCCTACTAGAAACCCCTACCCCAGGTGAGGATGGACTACATACTTCATTTGATGCGATGGTGAGTCCTTTATCAGCATATTCTCAACGCAGTGCATCTCTAGGAATTCAGTTGGAATCACCAGAGAAGTTGACAGGTGCACCGAAAGACAACAACAATGAACCAAGTGGACAAACTATTACGCAACTCCAGTCAGCATATCCAAAGAGAGAAGTTGGAAATGATGTGAATGTTCCAACAGCTCCACCTCAGTCAACAGATCAACCAAAGAACACTGAAAGTCAACAGGTTGATGTGGCAGCTGTGGTACCAGTATCCACTGATCAATCATTGGGTCCACAGAGTGTTGTGACAGCTGTGGTACCTGCATCAACCGATCAACCAGTGGGTACACAGAGTGTTGTGACAGCTGTGGTACCAGCATCCACTAATCAACCACTGGGTACACAGAGTGTTGTGACAGCTGTGGTACCTGCATCAACCGATCAACCAGTGGGTACACAGAGTGTTGTGACAGCTGTGGTAAGTGCATCAACCGATCAACCAGTGGGTACACAGAGTGTTGTGACAGCTGTGGTACCAGCATCCACTGATCAACCAGTGGGTACACATAACGTTGTGGAAGCTGTGGTACCAGCATCAACTGATAAACTAGTTGGTCCACAAAGTGTTGCGGCAGCTGCGGTACCCACATTAACTGATCAACCAGTGGGTTCACAAATTGTTGTGGCGGCTGTGGTACCAGCATCAACTGAG